CGCCAGCGGGTGCCCGTGCACGCAGTCGGTCCTTGTGCTCCGGCTGCCCAGGGGCCTGGGGGGAGCAGCCCGGGGACATGAAGCGTCAGTGAGGGGGTCACTCCGTGTTTCCAGACTTGCTCCCTCGGCCGAGGGTGGCAGCCGGGGGGCCGCCAGCAGCCGGAGCAGTCCCAGATGGTTCCCAGCCCAGCCCTCCAGCATTCCTGGTGGTTTCCTGTCTTTGGGAACAGTATGTCCCACCCCAGCACTGCTGCAGAGTCACGCCTTGTTCGGGAAGCGGAGAAGGGGTTTTTCTCCCCAGGATTACATCAGCCAGCCGAAAGTGTTAGTGATGTGGAGGGTTTCGTGGTCGCTTTCCCAGACAAGCGCCGCTGTGCCTGGAAAAAGGGGTTGCAGCAGAGTGAGGGAAGCTGTGCCTGTCCCGGGGGAGCAGCGTCCCCACGTGTGTGGGGACACCCCGTTCCCACCAGCACCTTCCCTGCGGGCCTTCAGCACCTTCCCTGCGGGGCCCTTCGCAGTCACCATAGCCCTGAGGGGGTTGGGACCCCCAGGCTCACCTGCAGCCTCGGGCCATGACGCACTGCCCCCCTGCCCTGCCCCTACGCTGTCCGGGCCGCTGCCATCACCGGGAGGGAGCCCGAGCCCTCTGCTGGGGGTGGCACCGAGCCCAGCACCTGGTTGTGTGAAGCGGTGCTCGCTGGCCTGACAAGGGCTGACAAACTGGCTCTGCCGCGGGGCACAGTCCTTGTGCAGCGTTTAGACAGACAATAGGACAGATAACAGGGTATCATTGTCATGGTAAAACGCCGCTGCTCGATTTTAGCCCTACCTACCCTCTGTATGTGCTTGAGAGACCGATCAAAGACAACAGACAAGTGTGATAAGCCTTGAACTTGATCTTCGCTGTGTAAATTCTCTGTCCTGTCACTGTGCGGTACTGGTGTCTTGCTGGCACCGACCCTGCACGACTCTTGTCTCTGTGTGTGGACTGGACTTTACACACCGGGTCAAGAACCTGGTGTGGGGACAAGAGTTCTTCCCGGGGAGGGTTTCTCCGGTGAATCCGGGTGAATTCCCCGCGGCTGCGGACACCACGGTCCCCGCCCCACCGGCCCCTCGGAGCTCCCGCCGCCCTCGAGGGCTCCGACAGCCCCTGCCGGGGGGGGGGGCCCGCGGCGGGGGAGCAGCGGCGGTG